CACAGGACGTCGGCGTAGCGCCTGCGCGCAGGGGTTGTGGGGGGACCCCCATGCCCCAAACGCCTAGCAAGCAAGCAAGCAAGCAAGACATCATCATGTGGGGGCGGTTATTTTACGTACTAGCTTCTCTCGTTGCAAAGCCCGCACGAACTTTCGTTCATACCCGAAGTAATCCATGCAAAACCGGGGGATCCCTGCGCCTTTGTTTCCGCACTTTGCATTGTTACTCTTGTTGCTTCGCTCAAGAGGGACCCTGGACAACCTATACTTGCAGTAGGGGAGTTACCATGCAAAACCGGGGGATCCATATGCCTTCGTTACTGCACGTTTCTTTGTTACCCTTGTTGCTTCGCTGAATATGGACCCCTGGACAACATGTACTTGCAATAGGGGACACTGCACTTTGTACCATGTCAATCCACCAGTGTTTCGCTGAGCCTTGCGGTGCGAACTCTTTAAGCAGGACTAGAGACAAGCAACATCCTTGTCTTGGTTCTTCTCGGGCAAACTCACTCAATGAAGCCCGCTGTGGCTTCGTAATCCCAGGTTCTTTTCAACGCACCCGTAAGGTAGTCTCAGTGATCTTCAAATTCGGGGGACAAGAAGGCGCAAATTCGCATACACGCATACCATGGGTGAACGATGCATGTTTTTCCTTCTGCCCTACCATACAACCTGGAGGGGAGGCCAACAGGGGGATGCAAGCATGTTTGTTTCAGCCGGAACCTTTAGCACTTCGGCCGGAGCCTTAGCCTTACACCACGGCCTTAGGTGTGTTTTGTATGCTGCTTTCAGCTGCTGCGTCCCCTGACTACGATGGCTACCCGAGTAAACCCTTTTTGGGCACTCTCATTCCGGTACAGCCGAGCTTCTCGGGGAGAATCCCCCAGGGGGACCCGTGCGACACCCCTGAACCGCGGGTGCGCGCTCGCGCGCGGGGGGTCGGGACAGGACGCTTCCCGGCTCCTCTGCCCTGTAGAGAGAGAGAGAGAGAGACATCATTCTTAGAGTTACGGGGACTCGTCCCCGAGCCCAGACGCCTAGCAAGCAAGCAAGCAAACATCATTTTTAGATTCGAGCGGGACGGGGTGGTAAGTTCAAACCAGCAAGAAGGCTGGTTCAACGGATGCGCTCTCATTGATGCCTGTCAAAACCATCTCCCAGGTCGAAGTTCTGACTGGCATGACAAGGGGAGTCAAAGCGTGATGGCAACTGTGCCAGTCTTGTCTCAACAATGAGTTCGTGGGCAAATCTCGGTTGTATTTAATTTAAATATATGTGACTTGGAAACCTTGCTCTTCTTGGACCTGTTGGTGTATTAACATTTGCTTCACAGCTTTGGGATTGTCGTCGTCGTCAAGAGGCTTTGCTCCCGTCACGTTGGACGAGCAGAAATGCTTCAAAAGTGAGGATCTCGGGAAGACAAGTCGTCCTGTGGCTGCATCTAAGTTCGGTTGTGGCTTTGCTCTGTTGCCACTTCATCTTCAGGTTCATGCAGCGGGCGTTTGCTGCTGCTTCTGGCCCCGCCGATGTGAAGGAATCGCCGCGTCTCCCACTTCGGCACATGAAGCTGAAATGAATTGAGTGTCCACTCTGAGGAAAACTCCTCGGCTTGACATACTTTCAGACAATGAAAGGCAATTAATGATATCTCATGTGGCATTGGGTTTAATTTGGTGACCCGCTACTCGTATGTATTGCGTGCTTTCCTGTTTAATTCAGGATTTGCGATTTTTCGAGGTGCCCTTTGTTATGTGCCAAAAAAATTGGCCGAAATTTTCTGTTGTACTGGTCAGTAATCTTAGTTGAGTTTTTCTTAAAGACTTACGTAAGTGACAGTTGTTGAAGCTCTATGAAGCTCTTGGACATGCTTCCTACTGCAAGTGAAGGAAGGCCAGCGTGACCGGAAAAGCGGCATAAAGCTTGCCGCGATGCCCTCGGATAGTTTCAGTTCTTGAAGCGCTGCTTTTAGCTCCGAAGTGCAAGGAGCCACCTACAGGCGACAGGCAAGGTCGCTTGCAGTCACCTGAGGCACCTGTGCTTCCGTACCTGCAGGCCGTGGCGCAAGTGGCTGCAAGTTGAAAGGCGCGCAGAGCATGTCTCGCGCGCACAGCGAATTAAATGAAGATTAACATTGTAGATGTGTGATCCTGTGATACAGCACAGTATTGGCACACCAACTTCAGCACAGCTCTACCCCTCGTTGCTGCTAGTTAGTAGCTAGCAACAGCTGCAGCGATCTGGGTCGCTTTACATGCCGAGCCAGGCATTCAGCAGCTTGCGAAGAGATCGAAGAGACTCATCTGTTGCGAAAGCTTGTGTGGATTTCTCAAGGGGGGCATGTCAGCAAAAGCTCAGCATGCTTTTGACGGGTTTCTCAAGCAGGGGCAGGAGGAGCCAGCATGGGGAAGGGATACATCCATCGGACACAATCGTGAACAGTGAACCCCGAAGCGCTACATCCCCCAATCCGAGCAGATCCATTCTAGGAATCCATTCTGAGCAGAAATCTTGGGCCGCAAGTCTGGGCCTCAACCTGCTCTGGTGCTGCAAAGGTGAGAGCAAAAGGTCTACATCCTGACAGCTCAACACCCGAAGCATCAGAATGGTGCAGAACGAAGAAGCCCAGCCAACACGATCCCGAACTTAGCACGGTCTCCCCAATTAGGGCAACGCTTACACTTCTGAATTTCTTGTCATCGCCCCGGGTTGAGCGTCAGCTAAGCTTCGCGCAGGCCAGCGGCAGATGAGAACGTGTGCTCAACCTCAACCTGTGCTGTTGATCCATTTTGATCGGCAGTTGCTGGCACAATCTGCTGTCGCAAGGCAACACAGGTCACAAGGGGACTCAGATCAGCTTGCGCCAGGCCAGCCGAAAACGAGGAACCCGCGTCGAGTCATAGGGCACAGGAAGACATAGAGTCATAGAGTTTACTTATAAGACCAATTCTTAAATGCAAGTGGGTGTACTGCTGCTTACCACCCGAACGCTCGCAGGAACAGTGGCCCGGGCTTTGCACTGAGCGATGAGTGGTGAATGATTAGTGGAGCAGTCAACACTCAGCAATGCGTCCACATCAGGTTGGGGCCGCGTGAGCCAGCAACAAAGCAGGCCATGGTCAATAGTTGGTCGGGGTGTGGGAGTGTTTCAATCATAGGAGCCCAAAAAGTGTTTGGGCGAATGGGGTTTTCAGTAGGTAATGGGGTCCCGAATCCCAAACTCCACAATCTTGAAAGCCTTTGCTGGCTGCCAAGAATTTCATGCACCCTTCGTTTTGGGCATCTCATGCTCAACAGATCTCGTGAGCCAGTAGCACATTCAGATCCTCTTTGCGGTTCATTGGACAATCCGGGTTTGCACAATGGGCAATGGCAGGGAGAAAAGGACGGATTTGATGATGTGCAGTTGTCTCTTAAGTGAAGAAAATTGCTACTGGCAGAAGCTTGGGAAGGCTGAAACTGTCCATGCTGGCGATACCTGGCGATGGTGTCCATATCCACAGCGAACGTGATTTCAGGGATGCCAAGAATCATGCCTCCAAGCCCCATATTATCTTGGCACTTGTGGATCAACGAAGAGGTGCGGCCGGGGGGGCAGCATCGAAAGCTCGTGAAGATTTCTGATTGCAGGCTGACTTCTGCAACGGAGACCACCAAAATGAGCAGCGTGGTTGCAGATACTCGAACCACTGGATGCATTCCTGTCCTTCCTATCGTCCTACATGTCGAAATCTTTGAGGCCACAGATTGACAGTCGACACCTTGGCAATACCGTGACGCTAAGCTGGAGACATCAGCAGGGGATGCTTTGCACCCAAGCAGCTGTTTTAGGGCGCTGTGGCTTCGATACCCGAGCCTGACATCGATTTACTTTGGCGCGAAACTTAGAAGCCTGAACCTGTCAGCACATCAGCCCCTCGGGCACTAAAACCCACTTCGAGTTGGACTGCAGTACCTCTGGCATGTGTGCCTTCGCGTCCATGTTTGCTCCCCACTCTCAGGTCGTATGTCTTTCCGCACGAGTCTCCCGTTGCTGCCAAGATGGATGCTTTGGGGCTACCAAGGCGGGGAATGCCGATCACTCGGCTCGTAAGCGATCGGCGCTCGGAATGAGTCTCGTTGAAGGTGGTTTATGGACCTTGCCAAGCCGGTGCGGACACCCGTTCAGGCTTGAGTACTCTTGTCGCTTGACCTGAAAGCACTTACTCTTGGTGGTAACCTGGCTTGCTTGATGCGAAGGAGCGTGCACAGCCGATCGCCCGGACAAAGAGTTTGACACGCCCTCCGGAGGTGTGGATCACAGTTGCTTGATGGTTACCAGAACTAAGTACAGGAATGCCGCCAGAAACAGTGACACATGGAATGAAAGAACGAGGTCAAAAAGACGCGAAGGACCAGTTTCGTGAACGCCTCTCACGCGAGGACGGGCACCACAGTGTTTTGGTCAAATGGTGGCACAGTGTGGAACACTTGTGTTGGAAGTGACAACGAGCACGCTCGTCTCCTTCGACAGATGGCATGTGCTCAGATGCGTGGCAGCATCGATTTCTGCGCTTTCTAGGTTCTTCTTTGGACCAGTTCCTTGGTTCCGTGGATGTGATCAACACCGTGCCCGAATAAATGCTGCGAGTTTTTCCTGAAGATATGGGCGAGACGACTTCATAAATGTCAGCACGCTTGTGGTTCTTTGGTGTCATCGGCTCCTGGAGTCCTTGAGAAAAATGCGAGAGCCCTCAGAGGTGCGAATTTCTACAGTGTGAATGGCACCTTCAGTGTTCAGCCAGCCAATCAGGGTACACCATGATACTTTCGACCATGCTATTCACACTGCCTACCGGACCCTCCATTCGTCATATTCGTCGAGAGACTCGCCAACCTGTCCTCACCTTGGCGGATCACAGCCGGAACGACGGGGCAAACCTTCGCGCTCGGTACCAACTTCCCCCACTATTCCGAGCTCGGCACCCAAGTTCGGCAGCGCCCCAGCACACCGTACAGCCATGGCGACGGGGGGGTGCTGGTGGGACCGGAAGCTCAGTCGTGCAGATTGGCACAACTTTGGACTCGTTGTGAAACGAACTGGAACCCGCCTCCCACGTACCAGAGGTCTCAAAGGCTCCACCTGCGGCATTGACCGCTACGGCAACTCCCAGTACGGCCCGCTCGGTTATTTCAACATGAACCACAACCATAAGCCAATGCTCGAAAGGCACGACCAGCGACCGCGGCTCGCCCCGACTGAGCGCTCAATGTGGGTGAACCGCGATGCTGACATAAGCGCGCTTGGATTGCCACGTTCCGGCTACGACAGGAACGACTTTCACGGTTCATCTCCTTTGACCTCCTTGCCTATGCTTGATTGCTCGTCAGCAGCACAGAATTACATGTGCGCTGATATCGACGACTTGTATGTTTGCGCGATGGCTGCACATGGCTTCCCCTGCCCCCCGCCCCCCCGCAGACTTCGATGCAAACTCCGATGATGTAAAGGCGGCAGCAGGGTGTGGACCGAAGTTCCCTCGTTGCCTCGGCAGGCGCTATCAGGCGCCATCCTCACATAAATCCTCACCACCGCGAGCTCCCGCTTCAGACCAAGACAGGGAGGAAGACTCCGATTGGTGTAGGAGACACCAAAAGTCCGGTCAGCCCCCGTGCTCTGCCTGCGCTCATCCACAATCATCCGCCCACCTTCAAAATTATCCACGGCGTCGACCGGCATGACCGGCGGAGGGTTGTTCTCACCACGGACCACATGGGCCCAAACACACATATATCACATGTCATGGTTGCACACGCAGTGGTGAGGAAGCCCTGTATCAGACTCGACTACGATGTGGACATGCAGGTGGGGGACATGTGCTCATCAAGGGTCCGTAATCGCCCTTAAAAGTTGACCAGCAAGCGACCAATTTCCTGCGGTGCTCGAAACCTGTCCGCAGCCGCTGCGGCAGGGGCAGGCGACACCTTGTCAACGGTCCTCCTCCATAGCCCCGATGCACCTCAGCACCGCACTATCCCTCTGTTGAAGAAGTCCTCTATTGCACGGCTTGTGGGCTTGCAAGCTCACAGGTCTCCGCATTTTGGGTCAAACCTTCTCAAAAGGGCTAAAACCATTTCGAGCCGGGCCCGGACGACTAGGGTGCTTCCTCTTTCCTGCCGCACCCTCTCTCTGGCTGACATGCTTGGACAACTGCCAGCCGCGACAGGGGTCCTATGAAGTTTAAGGTTTATAGGGTGATGGGAGGACGCAACCGCCGAATCCGCCGATAGGAGTCGGTCCGTCGAGGCATTCCGATGCATTCTCTACGTGTGGACAGCACCGGACGTCAAGTTCGGAACATCGCAGACGCGCCAGGAGAGGCACGCATCCAAGGATACTATGTTCGCGGTCAGCGTTGTCCGTTTCTATAATCATGTCGACCGCAGTGCACCAGATTTTCGCAGCAAGTGTTGCAGGACACCAAGTGCAAGCTTGGTGGGAGCCTCGCCAAAGGCAGATGGCGCCGCGAATCTAGGTCAGAGCATATTCAGCGGCAGTGTTCAACAGGCAGGAGCCTCCACCACCATGACAATTCTGTCACGCAACCCCATCTTTGCACTCGGGCATATGCTCCGTGCTTCAGGTGCTGGAAGAGTTGGCGAATGCAGCTTGAGACCATCCTACTTGTGTGTGCGTGGAGATCGAGCTCGCGTCAGTCATCGTCAGTCCATGTTACGAACGCTTGATGACGTTGCTAGATTGTTCGAGAGGCAGTCGCAGCAAGCAGTGCTGCATGTATTGATTGAGATAAGCCTGGAAGATGGCTTCATGGACATGTTACATTTTGGGATGCATGCGTAGTTGGTCCATCACGTGTTTGTGCAAGTTGCCTCCGTTTATGCCTTTCGGACCAAGTTACGCACGAGCGCACAGAGCACAAAGCCTGAGCCTCGTGTGTAACATTCGGAAGACGTTCCAATCCACATACTGATTGAAGCAGTCTTATCGTGTGGAGTCTTGAAAAACAGTAAGCTCAAGCCCGCGACCCCAATCGACAGGGATGGTAGCAAGTTCAACGCATTGGCATTCGAATTCAAAAGTAACCTATCAAAGTTTAACCGCCTCGGAAATTAAGAAGGCTCCTTGTGTGCTACATAGTCTTGTACAGAAGCCTGCAAAACAGAAGGTGTCTAAGGAGCATTTGTGTGCATTGGCCCCTCCGAGCTTTTCGTGAAGCAGGGCCTCAGGCACTTCCGGGTCGCATGCTGTGGTGGGGCTGTTTCCAGCAAGTAATCGTACTGCTGAACAGGGAATATTAAATCAATTACATGCCGGAGTTGCGAGAATCCCGGGTAATAATCGAGGGTTTCTATACGATCGACATAGTGAATTTCATTTGCACGAAACAGTGGGTGGGATGAGTAAAATGAAGGAAATGCACAGAGACCGCCAAGGCCCATTCAATGTTGGTGGGTCTGAGTCGAGAGTTCGGCTGAGCTCACGGTTGTTCGCGAAGGAGGCTTGGCCAAAGCCTTGGTGAGCTACTGTAGCTATCAGATGTGATGCTGCTGTGGCGCTCAAGCTGTCAGTTGCACGGCGGTGGAAAGTGATCTCACGACACTCTTGGGGTCCTGCGTACTTTGACAGCGGACGTGGGCCACCTTATCGATACTTTGATGCGGGAATGTTTGGAATGATTTGTTTCAGCGCCGAACGGTGTGTCTGCACAGGTGAAGATGAATTCGACGCAGGACAGCCACGCCGAAAAACTGCCAATGACTGGAAGGCATGTGCTTTTAGAGGTTGTTAGCATGTTTTAGCATGTCACACCAATTAACACCTGAGCTGTAAAGCAAAACATCTACCGGGAGCTGGCCCCAGCTTTCCCGCAGCTTGTTGCCGATCGCAATTCGAGGTCACCCGGTTTTGAGGAGGGGCATGGGTAATTCGCTGATCTCAGTAGGTTGTTCCGGCTACTCTCATGCGACGTGTGCATGCACATGACTTGCCAGGAGCCTGCAATGATGTCCAAAGACCTGCTTGGCCTCTCTGACTTCATTGCAGGGCCAGAGAGAGCAGTCCTTCCAACCTTGTACATACAGAAGGTATTCTGCCAACATGATGTTTGGATGGCAAGGAAATGCAGTGTTTTCTCTCAGTGTGCATTGCAGCTTCTCGCAGCAGCCAGGAGGGGTACGACAAGCAGCTCGCAAGTGCTGAAATGTCGGCTGTTGTTTTGCTTTGCTGAAGCTTCTCAGCCAGGTTACCACGGAGCAGGCTGCGGGGCAGCAGGCAGGGCCGTTGTTGACTTTGGTACAGATGCTGTCTTTCAACATCCTGGGCTTACCAAAACCTCAGGCCATGTGCCGTCTTCTGTCTGCTGCCTGCTTTGAGTAGCAGCAAGTTTTGCTTTTTCTCCAGGAGCAGATGATGCTCACGTTCTGCCAACGACTTCAGTCAGGAGCAGAGGTTCGAGGCGCCTTCCAGTGTCTTTGATTGGGGATCCCTGGACCAACACAGGCAGGGAGCTAGTTGTCCTCAGCACTTCCAAGAGTCCTGGTCCAAGACGAAGACAGTGTGTAGTATAGACCACCTCCAGACCGCACTCAGTGTGTCAGGATGGTCCGATTCCCGACTCTTTTGGCCGGCGGTGCAGCAGGCTCTACTGCTCCCACAGCACTGGGTGCGGACCTCGGGCATAGCAGCTTTGCTCAGCTCTCTGAGTCCTTTACGAAGCGTTTGGAAATCAACAAGTTTGAGTGCTTACGGGAAAACTGTCTTGAGATCTGGTGTCCAGCTGTTTGGGCACAGTGAGTAAGTACAAGAATACAAGAAAACATGACACCAATCTCCGTCAACCACTCTCTCTCTCTCTCTCTCTCTAAATCCCGGCTAAATCCCCAATAGCAGCTGCGGCCAGTCGACGTTGACATGGGGAAGCCTGCACAGGCTCTTTCAGAATCTGAGCGTCAGCGTATGAGTGCTGAGACACAGGCAGCGCTGAACGATTGGTGGAATGCGCAAAAATGTGAAATGCGCGGCCTAAGATGAACCTTTTAAACGAGCAGCTGACAATGGTTGTTTCAATGGCATTTTCGTCTGGTGAACGAAGGCCGCATCTATGTTGATCGAACAACAAGACAAAAATCCACTAAATTATTTCAACCATCCCACTACCCAAATGTGTTCAAGACTTATGCATGGTTGACACTTCGAAGATGTTCTTTGAGGAGCTCATGTGAGACACGCAGTTTAACAATGGATGGTTGGCACAAAAACGCATCCTCGGCAGATCTGGTGCGAACATACTTGCACACAGCAGAATTGCTGAGATAAGAGACGAAGCATTTTCTGTTTTCTTCGTGACATTTCGGCATGAAGAGACTAGCTGCATAGGCAAGAGGCTTTATTGCCATCCAGCATGGCAATCGGTCAGTTTTCGAATAGATACTCATTCAGGGGATCCTGCCAAAAAGACTTGGGAACTTAATCAGACTATGCAAAGTGGCAGTGCCTGCATAGCTTGCTTTGAACCATAGCAACGGCTTGGAGACGTACCAGTTGAAAGTTCGAAGCATAACCAAGGCTTGCAGAAGGAAGCGATCAACATCCCGACGAGCGAGGGACGTACTTTGGGTCGTGGGTCCCAGACAGATCTATACCTTGATTTCCAAATGTTTGAGAGCAACGCACCCTTCCTCGCAGATCTGCTACGTCGGAGAATAGCAATGAAGGGCGTAGGTGCAGTCTGTGCAGTACAGCCTGGGTGCTGCCACAAGAGCCGTGTTCACGCGGACTCCGAAGCGCGCGTAGCTACCACAGCTCCTGCGGTGTTCGCTATTGACTGACGGCACATCGCAGCGCCCATGAGCAACATTTTTTGAGATTGAGAGCAGCAGAGTCCAAGGCGCTGCCCGCCAGCCTTGGGCTTCAAAAAAGCTCAATGTTGCCGGCAGAGTTTCTCGCAACTCGTATCATCACTCTGCGCACAACCACAAATCCGAGCTGGACCCCTCCTGCGCTGATGGGAGTGAGGGTGGAGTCATTGTTATAGCGCTAGAAGGGAGTGTGGCGCTGTTGGCCGGCTGCTACAGCCCAGGCCGGCACAACACCGCCACACAAGCCTTCCAGAGTAGTAATCACGCGATGCGGGTGTGGAGCACATACAGCTTTCCCGTCGGAGTGAAGCTAAGTGCGAGGACCGAGACAACACCCCACGTGCCACACATTGCAGCAACTTGCACATTCGCAATTCCTACCACATCTGATTTGTGTGAGGCACGTGTGCCTTCCTCCATTGCCAGTGCAATGCCCGATCGGTTTGCAAGATGTTGCTTGCAATCGCACAGCATGAGACGCTCTCTGTTGCAATGCTCTGGCTGGCTTGGCCCTGCTTTCGTTTCCAGCCTGCGATGGTCGCAGCAGCTTCTTCAGTGGCACATGCAGCAACGTGCTTTCGGAGTCAGCTTTGTGCCTGAAGATGTTTTGCATAGCTCATCGACTGGGCCTAGGCTTAACCAACCCATGTGCCATGCTCGCACTAGGAGGTTTCGTCAGAGGCCCATCATTTGTCGCACTTAGAGTCTTTGCCATATGTGAACAGGACTTATGCCAGCATCCTTTGCAAGAGCAGCCCCGATCCGAAATGCAAAATGCTGGAGACAGTTGCTTAGCAACGGATGCGCAATCTCACAAAAAACTCTCTACTGTCGCTTCGATAATATTTCCACCATGCATTCGATAGGCGCACCTTCAGCAGCTCCGAGTGCATCGTTGCTGCCCGTGTGCTCGCAATACTTTCCGAGATTGGTTTGTGCCAGAACAGGACACTTGCAGCCCGATGATGCGCTCTGACCATCCATTTGCCTTAAGTACTCGTGCTGAGTGTACCCATCACGCCTCCATCATTGATCGCACGCGATTTCCATGCCGCGTGCGGGCCAACGCTATCATCCCTTGCCGGCACAGCCCCTCGACATGCAAGATACTGTGCTCCGATGTCCAGCACAAGACGCTGCACGTTGCAAAGCTCGATGTCTATGGACACCGTCGTCCCCGTTCGAGCCATGTGTGGGGATGCCGGACAGCTTGCTTTCTGCAGGACTTGGGTCGATTTTCCTTGATGCACTTATCACATGGCATAGATCGTTTCCGACAAGGCCTGTGGCAGGACGGACAAGCAACTCTCAAGTGAGGAGCATATGACACTGAATGACGATGTTGCCCCGTGATGTGCTCCTGCCTGTGGCTCGGCCCCCACCTCCCAGCATCTCCCAACTCAGTGGCACCATACAGTGTTGCAGATCGCTGCTGGGCAAGTGCGGCATGGTAGATTCATCAGACCTGATGGCGTGACGCTTGCTTTCAATGCACCCTTTAGACTGTACTTGGCGCCGGCAGAGGACGACGCTCCCGTTTCGGAGCGCTTCCTAAAGCCTGGTTGCAGCGTTTATAGCACCCTACGCAAGGCGGCATCCCGCATCTGTGCAAGGCATTCCGAGATGGTTGTCTGTGTCACAAAACGTTGACATTGTATGTGCAGCTCAGCGATTGGCCTTGACAATCCGTTTGCCGTACTCGTGGTGGGTGTGCTCCTCACAGCTGTGCCATCCGTCACATGTGATTTGAGTGCAGCACGCGTGCCTACATCCTGTGCCATTGCAAAGCCCGAACGAGGTGCAAGATGTTGCTTGCAATCGCACAGTATGGGACCCTCCATGTTGCAATGGTCTCGCTCTCGGCTTGGCGCTGCCTGTGTCGTAGCAGCTTCTTCAGCGGCACATGCAGCAAGGTGCTTTCGGAGTCGGCTCGTGCCCAGCTCATCGGTTGCTAGTAGCCTTAACCTACCCAGGTGCCATGCTCGTGTTAAGAGGTTTCGCCAGAGCCCATCATTTGTCGTGCGGATTTGCAAACCGTCGACGGGACTGATGCCTGCATCCTTGGCAAG